CCTCACCCGCAAACCCACCCCCCGCGGCGCCCCCAGCTACGCCTACTTCCTTGGCGTGGGCGAGGTGCTGCTGGACCTGGGCCTGGTCGACCCCAGCACCAGGGTCAGCGGCGCCTCCAGCGGCAGCCTGGGGGCGGTGCTGCTCAAGTGCGGCTTCGACGCACGAGACGTGCTGCTGTCAACACTGGTGGGCACGTCGCGCTGCGGCAAGGGCCGGTGTTTGCGGAAGTCGAGGAGGCGGCAGGCCGTCACGCAGGCGGAGTCCTGGAAGGGAGGGAGTGGAGGCAGAAAGCGGCAGCAGTCAACTGCAATCGTCGCACTTTTGCTAAGAGGCAGCAGCACCGGCACCGTGCTCGCAACAGCTCTCGCGAATGCATCAGGATTTGTGATCCCATGTGAGGGGCACGGCTGACGCTAAGACCTGCCGTCCCATCCACCCGGCTGGGCACCTGTTTCCCCCACCAGAATTTCGCCGTTGATGTGCGGCAGCACGGCATCAAGGGCCGCCTGGGCCCCGCGCTGCGGTCGTACCTCCAGACGCACCTGCCGCCCTGCGCCGGTGCCTCGAACAACGGCACCACCTTCCTGGCCGTCACGCAGGGTGCGCGCGCTGTCAGGCGGCCCCGCAAAGGCGGTCAGCGGGGGGCGCTTCTTCCCCTGCACAAATCAAACATATGCATTTGAGGAAGCAGGGAGCTGCGAGGGTCGATACAGAGCCTGCATGGCCTGCAATTTTGGGGCCGTTCGCCCTGGCGGCCCAATAGGCCGACGCCCGCCCTCGTCTGCGGCCCCTGGAGCGCCCCCCTCCCCTCGTTGCGACGTCGCCCCGCCGCACAGTGTGGCCCAGCGTGCGGACGATGCTGCACTACTCATTCGGCACCAAGGACGAGCTCATCGATGCCATGCTGGCCTCATGGTGCGCACGGCGGCGCGCGGCTATGACCCGCGGAGCGGCAGAGATGGAAATCCAACTTGCAGCCTATTGCAGTGGCCGGTTGCCGGAGACCCACCGTCCACCTCTGCGCTGCCCCCTCCTGCCTTGGTCACACAGCGGGCGTGTGCAGCTGCGTGCGCTGCAGCACAGGCTGCACGCGGCACAACGGTGCATGTGCATCTTCGATACTGTTTCACGTCAACATCTCTGCCGCCGGCGTGCCGGTGGCGCATTGCTACCAGCCCTAGCTGCGAAACGGGCCGCTGCAGGCAGACACGCCCGACCCCGACACCCC